GAAGGACAAAAAGCTCCTGCAGCAGGATATATAAAGGGCAGGACGTCTAGCCTCTCCTGTTGAGTTTACTTCCTTCGTTCCAACTGTGAGTAGTCCGTCCTGTGTCTGTGCTTCGTTTGTGATTTGTTTTGTTTTGCTCTTGTTTTGTTTTTTATCTCGCTGGATTTTTTTTTTTTTTTTGGTGATATTTTGTGGATGTGATAACCTTTTTTTAATTATTTTTTCATATTCGGTCGAATTGTGGATTTTGGTAACAATTTTTTTTATCTCTGATTATTATTCATTTTATTCATATAATGTCAGTATGTATCTATTTGTTTCTACTTTTTTGTCTTTCTTAGTTTATTTCCCTAGCATTTTTATCTTTTTTTGTTTTATTTTCTACTTATTTCTACCTTTTTATCTCTCCCTCCCTCCACCCGCCATTGAACCCCCACCTCTTACCCTTCCTCCCGCCCCCCACTACAAAATTCACTTCCTTGTTCCCTCTCTCCCTCTCTCTCTCCACCTCTCACCCTCCCTCCATCCATCCCCCCACCTCTCACCCCCAATTCTCACCCTCCCTCCACTTTCCTCCCTGGCCTTACCTCTCCCCTTCTCCCCTCCTTCCCTCCCCCACCACCCTCTCTCTGTCCCTCCTCCACCACCCTCCCTCTCACCCTCCCCCAACTTCTCACTCTCCCTCACACATCCCTCACCACCCTACCACCCTCCCTCCCTCCCTCCCTCCCTACCCCCCACCTCTCAACTCCACCCCCCAACCACCACTCACCCCCTTACCCGTTCCTCTCGCCAGATGCGGTTCTCCTTGACTCTGCTCTGCCTGTGTGTGGCGCTGGTGGCGGTGGCTCTGCCCGAGGCGGAGGCGAGGCCGCAGTTCTTCGACTTCGTGGAGGACGTCGGCGAAGGCATCGGTGACTTCTTCGAGGGAGTTGGTGACTTCTTTTCAGGTTGAGTACCAAGTGCGTTCCTCGAGTCCTCTGGGAAACCGCTTTCTTTACGGTCCTTCCTTTCCCGCTGTGGGAGAGGGGAGAAGGGTGAAGATAGATTGCAATATATAAGAGTATTTATCATTTGGATGGATAGATAGATAAATAAGGATATACATATATGTATGTAAAAAAAAATATATATATATTTATACATTTATATATATATGTATGTGTGTGTGTGTGTCTGTGTGTGTGTGTATGTATATATATACATATATATATACATATATATACACACATGTGTGTATATATATATTAATATATATATATATATATATATATATATATATATATATATATATATATATATATATATATATATATACATATATATATATATATATATCCATATGTATATATATATATATATATATATATATATATATATATATATATATGTATATATGTATATATATATATATATACATGTGTGTATGTGTGTTTAAAGCCCACCTTCTTTCCTCAGGTCTCGTCACCACCACCCCACCCCCACGACCAGCGCTCACTGACCTGCTCAATCGTGAAAATGTTGTTGTGGTCTTTGACTAATTAATACTAATCCTATTTTTTCGATCTTCTGTGACGTCATCCTATCACCACGCCCCCTGTCGTCATCGTTTCTTTTAATGACGTCATCACGTCATTTTCTAATAAAAATAGGTGCTATCTGTTCATCATTCCTATCACTAACCTTAATCTATGAAAAGTTAGTAGAACTAGAATTGAAAATTAAAAAGGCTAAAAGGTAAATGCTAAAAAAAAAAAAAAAAAAAAAAAAAAAAAAAAAAAAAAAAAAAAAAAAAAAAAAAAAAAAAAGCATCAGCAACCACGGAAGAAATTGCAAGGAATCAATGGCATTCATTCTGATTATACAGGTAGCATGTAATCTATGAATTCGCAATTAATGATCTACCTGAATTACTACACAATGGAAGAAAAAAACACAAACACACACACACACACACACATTTTACTAAACGATAATCGTACACGTAGAGTTTGTGAAAACCTTGAGATATCGACTCGGCGCCTTTTGCAGGTAATCCGAGATGTTTTTTGTCATATACATAATTTCTAAACCGGAAAAGAAAGGAAACTCTTCTCAGGCAATTTTTCTTTTCAAACAACGAAATAAAATTCTGAAGAAAATGGCACATGTCTTTCCCTAAGAATGCTAAGTTTTTGAGTTATATATTGTGAAATAAACATGATGAAATATGATACAGTTGGTGTGCACTATATAAACATAAATTAAAAATGACGTTAAAATGCAAATATATTTCGGTTAATTAATAGTTTATATAATTTTACTAAATAGACTACGATCTATTCATCTAAAAAAAGATGAATACACATGACAATCTTTATATATATTATAAAAAAGAATACATATAAAACTTAGTAAGAAAAAAATCATTCTTGAAAAATCATTTTAGTAACATATAGCAGGATATGAGCAAGGCAAGTTGAAAACAAACACACGCAATAAACAAATCATGTTTCTTAAG